AATCCTTCGTGATAGCGACGGTTTCTTTTATGTTTTGAGTTTGTAGGCGAGGGTTTCTGATCCGGATGGCCGAGTTTTTCTCTTGCACCCGTTGTTATTGAGTAACTTAAGTAGATCTGGAGTATCCATGCCCCACTGATGGTTTGTCAATAGCTTGACGAACCGGGGAGGGTGTTCGTGTGTCTGGATACGAGCATGGTAGATCTGCTAGCAGCACGGGGGGATACGTAGACAGGAGCATGCGAATGCCTGAAAAAGGCTACTATGTGTGGGCCCCCTTCCCCGAATTCGGGAGGGCCACTTCTTCCCTTCCTTTCCTCGCTCCCGCGGGTGCTTAATCAGAGAGAGTTAAAGCGTGTCTTCTCCTCTCAAGTACGGACATACCAACAAGGGAGAGCAACCATATCGACCCGTGCTGTATGGCGGTTGAGAATCGGAACTACGTTTTTTCTGAGAGTCGAAGAGTTGTTGTGTGTAAGCAGGCTGAAGTTTGAATCTCTAGAAGTTGGGGAAGAGTTGTAGACTAGACTATGCAAGAAGGCTTATCATGCTTGATGTGTTTGACAGAACAGCTGTCAAACAACATATTCGCCTGATTGAGAGCGAAGTATCTGATTGAGAGCGAGAGCCAAAAAAATTGAAATTTCGGGTCCAGACGCCTCTTGCCATTTCTTGGCAAGTAGGGGACGGGCTATTCCAAGAAGCGGTGCAAATTGAAGGTCTCATCAGCAGCTTCGCGAGCATATGCGTGTCATCGTCATCGGATGCTGCAGCGAGGAGCTAGACAAGTTGCTAGATTTGCCCAGATTGGCTATTTCTGCTCAAACTGTTTCAGGGCGGTATCGCGTCGGGCGGTGGGCTCTGCTGTAGCTTCTGCTCCCCGCTGTAGCTCCACAACGAGAGACTCCCACAGGATGACCAGGGTAGCGGCTTGAAGCTACGGGCTAGCCCTTCAATTCAAGCTACACAGCAAGCTCCACCTCTCAGTGGTAGTCCGGCTACAGCGTATCGCGCAATCTCGCTCTCAATCAGATGCTACGCTCTCAATCAGGCGAATATGTTGTTCTGTCCAGGATGATAGCATACACCACAAACCCCGGGGGCGCCGCGAAGCACCGGAATCAAGGGGGGGGAGGAAGTTAGGTGCTCAGATCATCGATAGTTGTTCGTCGAGCGGGGAGGGCAGTTGGAGTAAATTGCAACGGACTTTTGTTTGGGCTTTGTAGGAGTAAAATCATGGCAGTGGCTGCAGACTTTTTGGACTTTGTTGAGTACTAGGAAGAAGGTGATATTGAAACGTGGCGGGAAGGTTACCCGGATCGATTACGTTGTCGGAGTTATCCTGTTTGCGTCTTTTTCTTGCATTTTGTCGTACCATCCTTGGGAGGGAGGGGTTTTGACCCGGTGGCCGGGTTTCCCGTTACGTTTTTATTGATTTTGTTGTTTTTACAGAAAACCCTGACTTGAGGTGGCGGGAGCACGCATCCCACAGAAGTGGTTAGTTACTTTTGCGTGAAGAACCAGGAAGGGTGTTTGTGTGAGTGCGTATGTAGTCGGATCTGTAGACGAGATTCCTGCTTAAGGTGCCCTGCACATAGGTGTACGTTGGGTAGTACGACCAGAGAATGATCGTGCGGAGCCCCCACGCCATCTGCTGTCAGCTGTCGTGCTGTCGTGTGCGTGGCACTCCCTGCTCTTTCCCCCCAACCGGGTGTGAGAAATAACAAGCATCTACACGTCAAGCACTACAGTCTCTACAACACAACAAGGGCATACCACTTAGGGTTAACAAATATCCTCTTCATCGTTGAGCAATCGGGCGTTGAAATATGGTCCAGGCAGTGTGGTATCGTGCGGCACTTTAGGTGTGATGAACGAGGTGTGCACCTTACATACCTTCTGAGGGCTAACACTTCACATGCCGGGGCTGCCGCGGGCGCCGAATGCTTGATATCTCCTTCCAGGGGCATCCCATCTTGATCAAGCCGCCGACGCTGGCGCTGCTGGTGATGCGGTCAAGGGATATGACCCCGCCGTTTCGCGTACACGCAACAGTGCCCGAATCATCGCACCTGTCAAAACGCTGCCAGATAGCCAGCTTTCGGCTTCGCAGGCCCCATGACGGGCGAAAGGCATTCACCTGCAAGGGATGAGGCCGTCAGACTTTTTCTTCTTTCGCCCGCACTCACAACAGCTCCTACGCATCCCGCTCGCTGGTGTGGGCTCCATTCCATCCCCTTAACACCCGCTAGAGCGGGTGGCCTCGGCGAGATGCCCCGTGTGCCCGTTATTATGTGGCGGCGTGTTGCAGCACAACAATCACAAAGCCGTAATCGACAATTCGGGTGGCTCATTTCTGTGTGTTGAAAGTGTAGAACAGCTCGGCCATGACGGGCCGTGGTAGGGTAGGGGCGTATAGGAAAACGTGTTGTATTTATCGTGGGCGTGCTTCAGCTCGTCAATCGGTCACGGCATAAAGTCACAGTTCACGCTCATCACGCTCAAAGTACCCAACGAATCTCCATGATTGTCCACCATTCCATCACACTCCCAAGGAAAATATGAATAAACTTCCTGTTCCTCCCACTCGTCACTGCAATTTCAGCTCATGTATACGCAAGGTATCACCTATCGTGCTATGCTACGAGTATATCTAATAGCCCCCCTGTTCGTATGCATCGTCATGCTCGGGCTAAATGTCAATATTACCCTCATCTCCAAAGCAAGAAAAACTCCCCCAAGACGATCACAACAAAATCCCAACACAACCAAAACTCCTTCAGAACAATCAAGAAAAATCCCAACACAACTAAGACTCTTACCATCTTCACCAGACTCTTCCTTTCGCTTGTCCAATCTCGTCTCTCCCTTTCTCTCTCCACTACAGAGTACGAATCGACCCCAAACACTTCCTTCACTGCAAGTTCATCACAAAGTCACGGTGCAGCGCAAGAGACTCCTTGCTGATAGCCTTCGTCAAGAAATCTGCATGCTGAAAATGCGTCGGCACAAGAGCAATTGAAATCTCTTTCCTCTCTACCAGCTCCCTGATAAAGTGATGCCGTACATCGATGTGCTTCGAGTTGGAGTTCGTGATCGGGTTGTGCGCAATCTGAATCGCTCCCTGATTATCCTAGAACACCGGGATGCACGCCATACCCGCATCTCAACATAAAACGCCACACCTGCCTCAAGAACAACAGTTCCTTCAAGACATCGGCAATTGCCATATACTCTGCTTCCGTGGTGGTAAGGATAACGCACTTCTGCGTTCGTGAAAACCAAGTCACACCCCCTAACGCACACATCACTAGCCCCCCAGATACCGACCTCCGGTCTGCCGCCTTGCTTGCATAGTCATCATCCACAAACACCTGCATGCTCATCTCAGTCAGCACTCCCCTCTCAAATGTAATCCCCATCCAACTCGTCCTGCGTTCGTACCCTAAAATACCGAGTGCTGCCTTCCAGTGCACCATCTGGGAGACGCGCAAAACCATGCTACTGCTCGAACTTCATTCGCGATGTCCGGCTGTGTTTGAGTGGCTAACCACATCAGGTATCCTACCAACTCGGGAAACGGGACATCAGCACTCGCTTCATACACGTCAAAGTCGCNTTCGCGATGTCCGGCCTTGTTTGAGTGGCCAACCACATCAGAGATCCTACCAACTCGCGAAAAGGGACGTCAGCACTCGCTTCATTCACGTCAAAGTCGGTGAGCTTTACGCTAACAGGCAGAGGCACACTCTGCCCCCACTCAACGCCATACTCTGCAGCCAACTCTTCGGCAAACCTTTTGTTGTGAAATCGTCAGCAGCCCTCTCTCTACGCCTCTCTCGTAAAAGCACGCGGAGTACCACCTCAACTCTGTTCTTCACGGGGACCATCTCGTTGAGATCCCTGCCAAACTTGTCACACCTCTCCTTCTGCCCTACGGCAAAAATGTCATCCACGTGGACCACGATGATGATGATCACATGTCCTTTCTCCATCAATCGAAAAACACATGTGTCCGCCAGACACTGCAAAAAGCCTAAAAGTAACAAACACCTCGTCAGGTGCGCATACCAACGTCGTGATGCCTGCTTCAAACCATACAGACTCTCGCACAGCTTCGCGATCAGGCCAGATGACCTACCACACCCCTGCGGTAAGTGCATGAAAACATCCTCATCAAGCTCAGACTGCACAAACGCCTGCAAAATATCGAAATGGCACAAGTCAAGATTCTGCTCGCATGCTAATGCTGCCAACAAGCGCACACTGGACACTGATACGGTGGGTGCAAACAATTCTCCAAAATCAATCGAAGCCCTCTGCATGTGCCCCCACGCTACAAGTCTTGCCTTGAATTTCGTCGGCCATCCATACTCGTCTGCCTTACAGTTAAAGACTCACTTGGCATTGATCGCGTTCTCTACTGGTTGCTACACCGGACTAAACGTTCCTGCATCCAGCAAACCNAATCGAAGCCCTCTGCATGTCCCCCCGTGCTACAAGTCTTGCCTTGAATTTAGTCGGCCATCCGTACTCGTCTGCTTTACAGTTAAAAACCCACTTGGCATTGATGGCGTTCTCTACTGGTTGCTACACCGGACTAAACGTTCCTGCATCCAGCAAACCGAAAAACTCTCGACCGACTGCATCATCCAACAACTCTGAATGGTGAGACCGCGTGGCCCNGCCTTGAATTTCGTCGGCCATCCATACTCGTCTGCCTTACAGTTAAAGACTCACTTGGCATTGATCGCGTTCTCTACTGGTTGCTACACCGGACTAAACGTTCCTGCATCCAGCAAACCGAAAAACTCTCGACCGACTGCATCATCCCACAACTCTGAATGTTGAGACCGCATGGCCTCCTTTCCCCCCCCCCCCCCCCCCCCCGGAATCCACGGGCCCACCAGCTCTCACAGCCCCCTCGTTCTCACGGCCTCCATAGCTTGGATCCGGCGGCGGCGGGGGCGGTGGGTCACAGCGTCCTTGGTCGACGGCCTCGCTGGTAGCCAGCGACGATTTGATGGAGTACTTGTCCATCATCGCTAACAGACTAAGACGGTGGTGGAGAGCGGCGCCGCCACAGGACGGCGGTTGTTGTTGCTCATCCATGAACCGCACTCCATCGCCGCGCGTGCGGCCGTGAACCCTCGTGTCCTCTCGTCCCAACGCCTTGACGGCTCATTTCGAAAGCGGCGGGTGCGGGGAGCGGGGGTGACGGCGCTGGTGGGCTGCGGCGGCGGCGGTGGCAGGCCCGGGGGCGAACGGGGCGGCGTGGCTGCGGTCGACGGTGGGGCTGATGATGAGGCGTCGGAGATCGGCGACGGGGCCGATGATCCTGTGAAGATCGGCGGAGAAGCGGGCGGCGGCGGTGCGGTGGTCGCTGGTGCAGGCGGGGTGTACGTGTACCTCCTTGCTGGCGGGGGCGGCGGCGGTGCGGCATCGGCCGCAGGTACGGCGACGGCCGGCGAGGGCGCCACGGTGACCGAAGAACCCCCCCAGATGCCCGGCACCGGCGCCGGCGCTCCTGCCCGGTGGTTGACCCACACGACGTTGTTGGTGAGGGCGCGGCGACCGGAGTCAGCGTGAAGAACGACGGCGGTAGACGTCGAGTGGTTGTTGGCGCCGTGCAGGTAGAAGCACCGCGCGGACTGGACGTCCGCCTTGGTGGCCCGCTTAACGCGCATCATCCCCTCGTGGAAAAAAATGACGACGGTGAGGGGCGACTTCCGGCCGAAGAACGCCTCCAACGGCGACATGCAGCCCAGGTTGGCCTTCGTCGCGGAGCGGTTGAAGCAGGCGGATGCCCACAGCGCCGACGCGAGCCACAGGCGATGTCCGTTGACGCCGACGTTGGGGATGGAGGAGAAGTCCACGTGGTCCATGGCGAGGATGTGGCGGCGCGCGGCGTGGACCCCTTCATGGCGCGCCATGTGGCACTCTCGACCACCGGGTTTTGCTTGGGGGTTTCGGGGGCGGTGTACTCGCGCCGAATGCCAGCAGCGTCGCAGAACGAGGTGAACGACGAGCCGGTGAACTCACCGCCGTTGTCCATGCGGAAATACCCCGGAGTGCCCTTGCCGTTCATGTCGGCGAGGAACCGCTGCACGAACTTCAGGGTGTCGCTCTTGGCCCCGCACCCCGTACCCCTGTTGCCACCGCGATGCGCTGTCCACGAACATGATCAGGTACCGGGAGCCGTCCAACGCGTCAGAGAACGGGCCTGTGAGGTCGATGTGGATTTTGCTGAACGGTACCGCCGCGCGGGTGCCACGCGGCGGCACCGGGGCCCGCCTACCCTTCCCTTCCACGCAGCCCACACACGGCTGCATCTCCCCCACCAATCGTACGCCCTGCTGCTTGGCCGTTTCCCGCATCAAGAATTCGTTGACATGGCCGGTGGAGGCATGGAACAAATCAATATAGATGGTGGGCGTGGATTTGCCTACCGAAAATGGAGAAGCACCGGGGGCGATAATCGCCAAGGCATACGAGAGGGACGGGGGAGCTACGGTTTGCTGCTCACTGCATCCAGCAACAAAACCTCTTAGGCACTCCAAGTCATCACTCATCACGGCAAACACGGGGGGAGGGGGTGTTGCACAATCGCAAGCATCAAGCGCATCCGGAAAAAAATCGTCCTGTGGGACCGAGTCTTTTCCATCCGTCAGGCCAACACCAAGGAACATGCTCACATCCATGAGAGGCAAATGGTCCTGGGGGATGAGGGGGTTGATCACAAATTCACGAAAACCGCTCGGGTCAACGACGGAGGGAGAAACAATCTCAGGAGATGCTACTGCAGCCGTGATTACCGGCTGGAAGTCGGCAAGAGTCGTTGGCACTACATTTACGTCGATGGGCGGGAATGCACAACGCGGAAGCACTACACCGGACGTGGTGGATAGGAAGCTCGACGTCGAACTCGAAGACGAAGGTCCAACACCGGCAGCGACTCCACCGGCGGACTGGAAGCTCGGACTCGCACTGGAACTCGAAGGTACAACCCCGGCAGTGGCACCACCGGCGGACTGGAAACTCGGACTCGCACTCGAACTCGAACGAACAACACCGGCAGCGACTCCACCGGCGGACTGGAAACTCGGACTCGCACTCGAACTCGAACGAACAACACCGGCAGCGACTCCACCGGCGGACTGGAAACTCGGACTCGCACTCGAACTCGAACGAACAACACCGGCAGCGACTCCACCGGCGGACTGGAAGCTCGTACTCGCAGGTGTGCCCGGTCCTGTGTTTGGGGGGGAAGGGGGGTTCGCCACAACAAGGCCTGTTCCAACGCTAGGCGAGGGAGCTTGGGGAGACACACGAGGAAAGGCATCGGGACCGAGGGTTACAGCACTACCGGTATACGTGGGAGGCAAGCGAGTGGCCCAAAGAGAACATCCTACATCCGAGGAAGCAAAGGAAAGTTGGCCATTCTCATCCAACGTAATCCACTGCCTACGCTGCGTATGGTGCAGAGAAAGCAGATTGAACGTGATGCCGGGGACTACGTACACGTCCGACATCTGCACGCAAAAATCGGCTCTCGGCCGAAGGGGCGGGCATGTGAAATGCCATGTTGATGCCACCAACACATTGCACGCGCAGATAGGCAACATTCCCTGCTTGGATGCACTCTTTTCCTGCTGGGATCGGCTTCATGTCGAACATGTTTTCGCTACTGCTGACAAACGTGTTGCTCGCGCCGCTGTCGGCCCAAAATTGCTCTTTACCAATCTGCGAAGGGCGACTCTGAACAGACAAAGCGAAACCACAACCATTCTCACGCGCTACCACGCTTGGAAAGATCTCGCCTTGTGACACAAATCGTGTCTTGAGGAAGTGAAGATGCCTAGGGGATCCGGCTGCGTCGGGAGGAGGCGAATGGTACAGGGCATGGGTCGAGTGCTACTGCGGCTGCGGCTGCTGCTGGAACGACGGCGGTGGCGGAGGCTGCGGCGATGGCGGAGGCTGCTGCTGGTGGTACGGTGTCAGAGGCGTGTAGTACGGCTGCTTGTAATAGCTGTAGTCTGGCGAAGGTTGCTGATACTGGCTTCTGCTCCCACCCCCTATGCTCGTTGCCATACGCGGACTCCCCATGGGGCGCGGCATCACGCGGTTGAATCACATTTTCATGCCCGTACGGGGGCCGCCACTGCTGTTGTGGTGTACGAGGGGAGCTAGATGTCAGTGATCCTGCTGTCCTCCGTAGCCGCCGTGCGGCCCGTGCTGGGGCCCACCCCCTCAGCCCCCCCCACTGCGGCTTGGCTGCTGCTCCGGCGGTCCCCGAGGTTCCTGTTGCTGCTGAGGCCGCTACTGTTGCGGGGGCTGTTACCTTTGTTGGGGCTGCTGCTGTTGCTGAGGCTGCTACTGTTGCTAAAGCTGCTGCTGTTGCTGAGGCTGCTGCTGTTGCTAAGGCTGCGGCTGCTTGGTCTGCTGCTTCTTCCGTTGCCGACGCTGGGTGTAGCACTCGCTGTTGGTGTGCGACGAGTAGGGATGATAGTCACAGCTCTTGTCTCCGTCCGCCCTGTTATTGCTGCTCCGACCGCCTCCATTGCCATCCTGACCCCCGCCGCTCCCACTGGACCCATTTTAGACACGTCCGTCGCCCCGGTTCCCACCGGCAGCGATGAAAGCGTGCCCCGCGCCATTCTGCGGCTCCCCCTCCGTGCGGTCACCATATCCTGATGGGCATCTGTCACGACCTTTGAAGGTGCTGACAGGTTGAATGGGGGGCGGAAGGGCACGCAGCATGGCTTTCTCCATCTTGTACTCGGAAGACAAGTTGTACACAACGTGCAAATTAGCATCATCGTCGGGGTATGTGACGCCGTGTGAGGCCAACCTATTGCGCAAAACAGCAAATCTGCCAAAGTATTCTTGCGGGGTTTCACCCACTCGCATTTTGATGGCATGGTATTCTGAAGTCAACCGTTTTTTCTCTGCTCTCGCCTGGGGTTCGTAGTATGCTAGAAATAGTGTCCAACCTCCGCTGGGACCACCATCAACGATAATCTGGGTCGAGACAGGCATGTACGTGCTTGTCGTGATGATCAAATTCCACGCCGTGATCGCCGTTTCTACCGTCTCAGGCGAGTGCATCCTACGTAAGTCCTCCATATCTACTCCTTCTAGCCCAACTGGAATCCTGTGGTCACTCAAACCCACTTCCCGGACTCCGTCTTGCGCGAACATCGCAGTCATGTTCGATCGAATAATCAAAAACTTTGCCTGCTCATCCTCCTCTTGCCTACACACACCGTCCCACGGCGCTAGGCGCTCAACCTCAGTCATTCTAAGAGTCGCTGCGCTACTTGGTACGCTACCCATGTCTCCGGGTGTTATCTGAAGACGGCTGGTCAGGGCGTCGGCGATAGTGCGGGCGATATCGTCTGTGGACGGGCCGGCCGATGGTCGCCCCGCATATTGCTGGTGACGTGTCTCGTGGTCGTTCCCGCTCCGGACGTGATCTGTCCTCTGCTCCTGCTCGTCTTGGTGCCTTGTAATCTCGGCCAGTCTTGCTGCGACCCTCTCGTTGTCCAACTCGTTGATCTGGTTGTCCTCGTCTTCTGCTGGACGGTCGCTCTCTCGGTCTCGGTTTCGGTCGGTGGTGCTCATCGGTGACTGCTGCCGATTTCCGTAAAGCGATGTAACTCCAAACAAAATTCGACGAGAATATCGTTGACGACGTGTCATACGCTAGCGTGATCTATAGTTCGGGTGGCTCAGTTCTGTGTTTTGAGAGTGTAGAGCAGCTCATCCATGACGGGCCATGGTAGGGTAGGGGCGTATAGGAAAACGTGTTGTATTTATCGTGGGCGTGCTTCAGCTCGTCAATCGGTCACGGCATAAAGTCACAGCTCACGCTCATCACGCTCAAAGTACCCAACCAATCTCCATGATTGTCCACCATTCCATCACACTTCCAAGGAAAATATGAATAAACTTCCTGTTCCTCCGCACTCGTCACTGCAGTTTCAGTACATGAATACGTAAGATATCACATATCATGCCATAACTACGAGTATATCTAATGAGCCGACCGTGGAGAAAGACTCGCAGAAGGACGGTGCTTTCTCAGTGGTGGCAGGTAAGCAGAGGTCTTGCCGATGCCTAGATGTTACCTTGAGAGTCACCCTGTCGTAGCTATGATCTGCGGCCTCCTGCCGCCGAACCTCTGTGCTGGCGGCATTTTTCGTTTCAGAGACTCGCAGAAGGACGGTGCTTTCTCAGTGGTGGCAGGTAAGCAGAGGTCTTGCCGATGCCTAGATGTTACCTTGAGAGTCACCCTGTCGTAGCTATGATCTGCGGCCTCCTGCCGCCGAACCTCTGTGCTGGCGGCATTTTTCGTTTCAGAGACTCGCAGAAGGACGGTGCTTTCTCAGTGGTGGCAGGTAAGCAGAGGTCTTGCCGATGCCTAGATGTTACCTGGCGAACCTCCCTGTCGTAGATGTGATCTGCGGCCTCCTGCCGCCGAACCTCTGTGCTGGCGGCATTTTTCGTTTCATAGTTTCTCAGAGATAAAACCCGCTTGGTAAGCCTGTTGTCATTTTTTGTTCGTATCGGAATACGCCCTCGCTCCCCCCTCCCTCGCCTTCCCTGGCTTCAAGACACAACCTCTGGAAAAAGTGTAGTGGGAATATTGGCTCTAGCGTCTGTGGATTGATGGCGGTGATTTCATGCATCCTCCCTTGTGACTGCTGTGCCGGTTGCGGAGGTGTTTTGTTCGATGAGACCGGAGCTTTCTCTGAAAGACTGCTCATCACCGATCGATGTCGATGCTCTACTTCTGGTCCTCCATTATTCCAGTGCCAAAAATGCCAAAAGTAGCCCACAGCTGCAAGCACACACCGCTCACGTGGGTGATGATATGGAGGATGAGAGTATGATGGTGTGACCGTGTGCCCGCGAGCCACCGTCGGTAATTCGTGGAACGTCACCAGTTCGTCCGCGCGAATTCGCCCCGTCCCTGTACGTTGCGGTTTGCGGCCCCCTTTCCAAACACTTTCAACTGTGCATCCTACGTACGTACGTACCAGGAAGCCGACTGTGCATCGATCAAATGGATTTAGTGTACATTGGGGAAATTTTCCACCTTTCCTCCTTTCAAAGGGGGCACACGGGGCACACTGTCTGGAATGTGAGATTCTTTTGCCCCAAGAACAAGAGCGGCACGATTACATCGCACTTTTCACAACAACACCACACCGCATCTCATAGAAGCGAGAGGCAAAGCGCCAAACGGCGGCGGCAGTGGGGCGGCCGATCGTCAGCCCAAGCTCAATCGTCATGTTTTCACCAGGAACTGGATCACGAGGTCGCGGAAACTACGGAAGGGCCGACAGAGGCAGGTCGGATAGATACGAAGCGCCCACACAGCAGCCGTTCCGGGCCCTATGTGTGGAAGGCATCAGAACGCGGGACACATGAGGATCTCATCGCAGTTAGTCTCGACCTGAATCCTTATGAATTTGATCACTTCTGCCCTCATTGCGATCAATCGGAGGAGAGGCTCGAGCGGCGAGTAAGTTACGATAGCCACGGCACAGTGGGCAACAGAGGCGTGAGTGGGAAAGAGCCGAGTTCAAGCCGTGGTAGCTCCCAGAATCCATACATGAGCTCACAAGTAGCAGCCGCAGCCGCAGCAGCAGCAGCAGCAGCAGCAGCATCCGCTGGAACTGGAGTTCCCCACGCAGCAGGAGCAGAAGTAGCAGCAACACCGTCGGGTGGCATATCTGGAGGTAGAGGGGCGGCGGCGACGTCGGCGGCGGCGGGGGCGCCTAGGATTTTTTCATCATGTTGTAATTCTGGTCAAGTTTCTAGGCTTCACGACAGAAGGTTACAGCTGGTACCGGATCTTCAGCCGATGACCTACGTGGCGTGGGCGCCGGTGACCCTTGCGGCGTGGGCGCCTCGTAGTCGGCATCCAGTAGATACGCGGAGGAAGAACCCATGGACGAAGATGAAGAGTGAGTCGACGGAGAAGAAGCGCCGGAGGAAGAGGCAAAGGAGGGAAGTCGGGAGCGATGGATGAATGTCGAGTTACAAACTGCCTTCGCGAAACAAGCGAGGACGGTCTTGGACACTCTCCCCAAGATAGCCGGCAACGGCACGCTGACTCCACCACAGTGGAAGAAGGAGCGGCATCTGCCGCCCAAGTATGTAGTGGCAGCGTTAAATCGACGTTTCCCTGACGCCCCGATATGCCGGCCCGCAGACAGCCCGGAGAAGCGCGCCGCTGCGGCGATGAAAGCGGCGAAAGTGACACCAGCGATGAGTACCCGGGTCGAGAACGGAGCGATCATTGATGTGCTTTTGAAGGAGTTGGTCATGGCCGTTTTCGCGACGACACAAGTTGTGTTTGCTCTCTACGTGCACGAGGTGGTCTGCTTGGAAGAATTGGCCGGCATTCCAGCTATCCAGGCAAGTGCATGAATGAGCGAAGGAGCCGATGACGGTACCCGACCCTTTTGGCCTTCGTAAGATGTTGCGCCTGCGTGCCGAAGTGGGTGCTGAAAGATGAAAAACTCGTCGCACATTCAAATTGTTGTTGTGACTAGTTTTCTGTTGAACATAGTGCATTTTGGTTGTCACGGATTACAGTGTTGCGCACGCTCATGATCTATCAGCTCATGCCAATGTCGACGTTGTTGGTCGGTATCCCTATCTATCTTCCGCTGCGGCAAGCCCACAACTCTTGTTTGAAATTTGCATGACGGGAACCTTCAGAAGTTCTGACAGAAAGCGCTGAACTCTGTTTCGTTGATGGGAAGTTTTGCTCTTGATGAGACCTGCCGCCGCCGCACTCAAGAGTCTCTGTCAGTGATTAGCCCTCTCACCTCATACAAGGGACAGGGCCTGAACAGAAACGAGCATCGGAACAAGGCCTGACGTAAAGATCCCTCTCCCCCTGTGTTGATTTCTTTTTAGGTGACAACCCCCAGCGGGGCGAAGGGAGTCAGGATGATCTGTCCAGGATGCAAATCGAATTCGGAAGTGAAACCTCCTGGAGTATCAGGGCATGACTTCCCAAATGCGGGTGCTCAAAAGGCAAGCAGAACGTTTGCGGTATGAACTTGTTTTTCGACTTGATTTCCTGTTTGTTTTGGTTCGCTGTTGGTTGTTGTCTGTTGCTTGTGAGCCGTCCGTTTATCTCGGTAGTCGGGAAGAGTCATCTGTTGTAAGAACATGCGCGCTTAGTCTTTGCGCCCTTCTCATTTCCGACACGTTCTGAATGCCGTCTTTCTCCGTATTATTCTCTTTGTAATTAGCCGTCTTTTTACGGCAGATACGCGCGGTACACGACGTTGGCAGGGTGGTGGTTCCGATGGCGGGCAGGTATTCCTGCACGGCCTCAGGGTACCCTCTCGTCTTGGAAAGTGCCAAGAAGGTGGCCAACAAAAAAAGTGGTCATTGCGGATGACGGGTGGGACGAGGCCACCAGCCGCGAGCATTGCCCAAACGGCGCTTCCTTTATCACAATGGACGACAGGTACGGTGATGATTTTATTTAAGCGTGTAGTGTTCAGCTTCAATCTTGGCATCGCATTGCAGTGCGAAAATCACACGCACAAGGATCGCCAATGCTGACATGTTCTCGCTGGGTCACTTGACCACTGAAATTGGGCAGGACATGCAGTTGCTACCTGAGGAGATTGTCTCGCGATTGCCGTTTCGCTACTTCAGGCAAAATGGCACGTCAGAGACTCTACTGGACCAAGTGAGGGCGACGGAGGGCGATCTGCAGGTGCAACCCTAAGCTGCAAGCGGTACCGATTATTTTTCGATCGTGATGTGTTTGGGTAGCTGGGTTGCACTCTGATTGTCCTCCTTGATTTTCGCTGTGATAAGAGTGGCTCCACTGAAAACTCGTTGGTCATCCGCCCCATGTGTTTGCTGTTGCTTGCTCCACTGAACATGAAGACGTATCGCAGGATCCTGGTCGCAGGCGAGCAAGGCCGAGAGCTACGAGAAATTCATTGGTGCATCCGGTTTCGCGTTCTGTCGTCATCCACAGGACAAGGGGCACATGCAACGCGAATCCACTCGCAGTGTGAGGGGCAGTTCCTGTGCATGGATGGCACGTGGCGCATCGGTTTGAGGGTCATTGATTCTCCGGACTGCCTATGTTTCCTGTTGGGGGAGGACGCCAAGGTTCACTCGTACGGAGCTGTGCAAAGCGAAAGGAAGGAGGAAATATACCTCCTTCTGAACAGGTACACTATCGTCAAATTTGATGTCGGCGAGATTGTCGCGGGTCAGGAGATACGCGAAAACAATTGTCGGCGAAATTATCGCAATAATAGACTAGTCTNGAAAACAACTGTCGGCGAAATTATCGCAAAATGCCTTTGTCGAGAGCTGCGTTGAGTATCGTAAAGCATCATATATGTGTGGTAGCGAAAGATGCCACGATTAGTCCGCTCTTACTCGTTCTCATCACCCGCACAACGCCGCAGGTACGCGGAGAGACGGAGGAGGAACGGCACGCTGCTCGCTCTGGAGTGGGTGTACGACGACCTCTGCTGCAGAGGGGCTGATGATGTCACCAAGGGGTAGATACGATAGTCAGGACGTCCTCTGCTTCGACTTCTACTTCGACACCGCCGCCGGCATCGAAGCGCGCCAGAGGGGACAGAGATAGAGCGAGTGAAAGAGTCGCTAGCGGGGTGCCTTTGAAGCTTGAACAGATCAGCACCCTCATGGACGCAGTCGCGATCGCCTACATGAAAGCCTGCAGGGCTGAAGTTGACAGGCAACGTTGCACTCAAGCAGAAGAAACTATCGGACTTTTTCGAAAGCAACAATATTTCAGAGTACAGGTACTCTCCTTCAAGGCCTGAGACCTCGCCCGCGCCCGCTGTAGGACCCGCCAGTGGGCACTTGTCAATCTGAGGGTTGGGGACTCGAAATATCTGCTGGTGTTGAGTTGTTGTAGATGTATTTATCGGCGGGCCCTGCTCTTTCTCCACCTTTGATCCACACAAAAAAGTATTCTTTATGATGCCATGCGTTGACCGTCAAGGCTGACGGCTCTGTCCTCCTCTATGCGTTTTGTTGTCGGGCGTATGTGTTTGCCTCCTGCGTGGGAGACGGGATAGATATTCCGTTCGTCTCGTCCCGCGCGACCGGTACGCATGGAGTAGAACTTTTGTTTTCGCCACGGCGAGCACGGATTGAAGAAACAAGGAAAAAAAATGATACTCGTGTGGGCACCACATAGACTACATGTCAGTATATAAGGCTTGGGGCACCGTATCTCGTGTCGGGCAAACACCCTTTTTACACTCGGAGTGCATATAATACGCCTATTCTAGGATGATATGGAACACTGCAAACGCACAAAGGACAAGCACAATTGTTTTCCTCCGCTCGGCTCTCGTGGTTGGCATTACGCAAGACACGCTCACTTTGCCCACTTAAGTGTACACAATCTCCAGTCAGAGAGGTGCGGGACATAACCGTAAGCGGCAAGCAGGCATGATGACTTCAAGCAAACAAGAAACAGCACACCTNGGACTATTCCAGCTCGGTCACTCGAATATGATCCACACAGCAGCAGCAGCTTCAATCGCACGCACACATAGACCCGGTCGCCCCGGTGGTCTAGTGGGTAGCCTCGCAGCCTGCTAAGGGCCAGGTCATGGGTTCGAGTCCCGGCAGAGAGAGTTCAATTCTCATAAATAAATCCTGGTCAAGGATGAAAGCGACGCGCTGCAAAGCTCGTTTGTT